GGGGGGGGGGGGCATGCTGGCCACCACCTAAAAATGAACCTAACCCAGGATAAAGCCGGGCCGAGGGAGGGACAGATTCGGGAACCTGGATGCGGCCACGATAAGCAAATGAAGAACACTTCTCTCCCCTCCGGACTTCACCCCTCTGAAGCCCTGCACAGGCTCAGCACGCGGGGAGGGGATTCAGCTACGAAACGGGATCCGCCTATCTCTTGCGGCATCAGAGCAGCCTTGCCAGTGCGTTCTGAGCCTCCGCTGTCACACCCCGGCCCCTCCATCCCTGCTCCCACCTGCGCCGTGGCCCGGTGCCAAGGGAGAAACCACAGCTGAGAAACCGAGAGATGTAAGCCAATACCCGCCCCCTCCCTGGCTTAGGTGGGAAGGACAGGAAGCAGAGCAGAAGCTGATGTGAGAGCGCGAGACGAGTGGGGCCTGCTCCCTGGCAGCGGAAGCCAGGCCAGCCTGGGTCCCAGGACACAGGACACGGGGCGTGGCTCCGAAGAGGCCCTCGGCGATGCTGACGTAGCGAGTTCTAGAGCAAGGTGTGGGAGGCCAAGGCCGCCGGGGCTTTCCAAGGCCTGCGGCGCCCCGGCGAAAAGGAGAACAGAACTTACGACACATTTAGAGCCAGGCCGGGGGAGCCTGTGTCACACGCTTGGCGCCCTCAAGAGCTGATGGAGCGGGGACGCTTATCCTCCCCATGTCACAGAGGGGGAAACCGGGGCCCCAGGAGGTTAAGCGACAGGACTAGGGCCCCGCAGCCGGGCGGCGGAAACAGGTATCGGGGACCCGCTCTGTGGGAGGCCGGGGCGCAGGGTGCTCAGATGTGCCTCCCGTGGGGAAGCCTGAGGGGAAGACATGGGTGGCAGGAAATGATCCCCAGCCCCGCCTGAAACTAAACTCGGAGGCCAAGCCAGCCCGTGGGCAGGCCCCTGCCAGTATTGACCCGATGGTTTGCTGCCAATCAGCTCTCCCTTTTCAAAACCGTCAACGCGTCATTTAAGAAGGAAACTCACAATCAGTGCTGTGATCGCAAACCAGGTGTCAGCCTCCATCGGCCGCCTCTGGAAGTAAGTGCTATGAGGACCCAGCGACAGCATGAGATGACGGCACACTGGGAACCAGGCACACGGCGGGGGCGGGGTGCACGGAGCCAGGGTGGAAGTCGGGCCCCAGGGGCCCCGGTCTCCACCCGCCTGAGTCCCAAGAGGTGGCAGAGAAACCCCGAGGCGCACACACTCACATCCGTGGGGTCGTCTTCACTCGAGATGTTGACCATGTAGGTGAGCTCGGCGTGCAGGTGGTTCTCAGGGGGGTAAGGGTTGCTCCACCTCAGCAGCCACGTGTGGGAGACGTTGGGGTGAACCGTGAGGTTTCCGGGAGCCCTGGGTTTCACTGTGGAGAAGCAGTGGCTGGTGAGGTGCTTGTCCAGGTGCGGGGAAGAGAAGGGTCCACAGGGCACGGGTCATTTAGATGCTCTCGGTCGAGCACACCTCCGTAGCACATTTATGGAATAGCATGTGGATATCGTCTCAGCGGAGAATGACCGTCATCATACTGACTACAATGTCGCTAAAACTCCGCTTCACACGAGTGGGGTCTAAGCGACTTTCTACAGTGAGTGCAGGAAGCATAGGGCAAAGGAACCCAAAACGTGGCTTTTTCACTTCGGTTCCTTCACACTTGGGGCCACATCTATGCGCTGTGTTATGACTCAGAGTTTTTGTTGATCTTGACCCGCGTGTTTTAAAACTCAGTCTCCTTTTAAGCAATCCTATCCAGGAGATTACAGGTATATAAAGTCGGCCCACCCGTGCAGAAACGATTTTAACTCATGGGTTAGTTCTTGGGTCTATCTCAACAACCCCCCCCCCCCAACCGTGGGCGGTAACTGCTGAGCTGTAAGCTCGGCGATACTCTTGCAAGAACATTCCTCTGCAGCTTTGCGGCCGTGTGACCCGGGGCAGGTTACGCGCCTCCTCCGTATTATACCCCATCGTAAAACGGGGATAGCTCTCTTTTGGAAAAGGAGGCCCAGAGAGGTGATGTGACTTGCCCAAGGTCACACAGCAACAAATGATGTCCGAACCTCCCGTCAGTGTACCGCGGCAGAATCGTGGTGAATTGCTGCGGGGACTCTGGCTACCAGGATGAACTCAGACTTCTGAGGTCAGACTGTCCGAAGAAGCAGCAGCTCACCAGTCCACACAGCGGGGAAGGAAGGTTCCCAGCTCAGTCTGTGGTCTACAGCGATGCCTTCTATTAAGCACGCCTCATCTCAGCACCCCAGGCTGGGCACTTACATTCAGGCGGCCGAGACGCGTAGACTGAAGGGGACCTGACGTCCTAGGCAGCCAAGCCCCATTTCAAAGACGGGAAGCCGGAGCCCAGAAAGGGGCAAAAATCCCGTCACGTCTGGGGACGCGCAGAAGACTGCTTGCGCCTCCCTCCCCCGCGTGGAGCCTGCCGCCCCCCCACCGCCCCAGAGCCCAGCCGGGGTTGGGGGTCCGGGAAGCCCACCCTGCGCCCCTCACCGTGACTGCTGGGCTTGAAGGAGTCGCTCCACAGCAACTGCGTCCCCGCCCACAGATGCAGCTGATACACGTCCGCGTCGACCAAGTCGTCCATCAGCATGCTGCACGCACACGCCGCGCCTTCTCCGTTCTCAGGGACACACGTGCGGTTTCTGCAGACACGGGTGTCGCGTTCAGGCTGGCTGTGACCCACGGGCATCCCTGGAACGTGCCTCAAGGAACACGCGCTTGGAGGGCCACGCTGTGTGTGTCTCAGCCATTCAAGTCTGCTCTCCTAGCACAAAAGCAGCCACGGGGAATGCAGGAGCGAACGGGCGTGGCTGTGTGCCGATAAAACTTTACTTACAAAAGCAGCTGGTGGGCCACATGCGGACCTCGGGCCGTAGTCTGCAGAGCCCTGGTCTAGGCCAGCGTACCACATTTAGAAGCAGAGCCCGTCTGCCTCGGTAGGTAGGGGAAGGCCTCTGGCAACGTACCCTGCACTCTGGGGTGAGCACACCCCAAAATGCCCCCGTGACTGCGTGCCTCGTGTCCCCAGCCGCACCCTCAGCGCCACCTGGAAGAGCACCCCATGTGCCACGGCTGTCCCGGTGACCCACCCGGAACAACATACCCCAGGCTCCACGGTCCCCCAAAGAACACCGTGGACTCCACCGCTAACGTGCCCAAACAAGCGGTCTAGCCAGCGGTTCTCAAAGCGGGGTCCAGGGGGGGGTCACGAGGTCAAACTCTTTTCATAATACCAAGAGGCTGTGTGCCATTCTCCACTGTTTCTTACAAGCGTAAGGTGGAATCTTCCAGACGCTACAAAGCGCGCGATCATTGCTCCAATGGCTTAGCTAATGTGGACCCGCGTGCTGTTGTGACCTAGTATCTCTGTTTTAATTACTAACAGGGTAAATAGCAATATTATGAGCCACTGAGACAAAAGCTTTGGTCTAACTTTGAAGCAGACGAACAAACCCCGGGACTCCAAAGTCTAGTCCAACATTCCACCACACCCACATGCCACGCGCCTCAGTGACAGTGCACTTAGAGCACCGTGACATGCCCACTGAGCCCCAGGGCTCCTCCCTTTTTTTTTTTTTTTTTATAACGTTTATCCATGTTTGAGAGAGAGAGACAGAGAGACAGAGCGCGAGAGAGGGAGATGTAGAGAGAGAGAGGGAGACGCAGAATCCGAAACGGGCTCCAGGCTCTGAGCCGTGAGCACAGAGCCCGACGCGGGGCTCGAACCCACGCACCGCGAGATCATGACCTGAGCTGACCGACCGAGCCACCCAGGCACCCCAGGGGTGCCTCACTTCGAACACCACGCTCAGTCAGCTGCGGGGAACCCCATTCAGCACCCTGCGCTCCAGGGCACCACCGGGACCAAATGAACTCCTGGGGTGAACGCTCTGGGCGCAGCCTCCCCCAGATCCCAGCTCCACTCGTGGCTTACTCGGACCCCATGAAGTTCAGCTGGTAGGACAGGCGGAGCTCAGCGCTGCAGTTCGTGGGCGCATCCATGTTCCACTGGCAGACGGAGGTGCTGAAGTAGTCAGAGAAGCAGGTGGGCGCACGCAGGACCCTGACGCTCCCTGGGGAGACACAGGAGCGTGGTGTGCGGCCGGAGCCAGACAGCAAGGGGCACGTGCAGCAGCGGGACAAGCAGGAAAGCGGGACAAGCGGGACCGAGGGGCCAACGCCACGCAAGGGAACCACAGTCCCAGGCACGGTTGTGGGCCAGCGTCCGGGGAGCTGGGGGCAGGATGGGGCTCTGCGGCATCCCGGCTGGCATGGGGGCGATTCCCGATGTCGAAGAATGCCCCCCGCGGCAGGCCTACCTTGCCTCATGGCACCTCCACTGCTTGCCCTTGGCCAGATTAAAGGACGTTTCTAATCTACGGAATTTCTAGTCTTTTCCATCACCACGGGCGTCTGCTCCAGAGCCGTGTGAGCAGGAGAAGGGCTGCCGTCCATTTGCCCGCTCCCGGACCCCATCCGTTTTGCACCCCTCTCTGGCTCAGGCGGCTGACCGCCATGGTCTTGGCACTCAGTGCCCCTGTCCTCTGGCTGTCGGTTGGGTTCAGCCAATGTCAAGGGCAGCATGAAAGGCTGGGGTATTTCTTCCCACTGGCCAGTGGCAGAGCTGGGGTGTGAACCCGGCAGGGCGCGTACTGGGTTTGCCAAATCGTTCGAGAGCCCGACAACAGACAGGCAGGTGCCTTCTCACTCTGATGCCCAGCACCAGCCTCCACAGCGGATACGTTTGCACACGCTCGCCGGATAAAGGCCTTAACGTGTCAGGCAGAGTCTTAGATATCTAATAAAGATCTCAAACTCACCTCGTGTCCAAAACTAACGTCCGATTCCCCACCTCCCGCAAATACGTGCCCCCGACTCTGTTCTGTGCTGTGTTTTTCTATCACTTTCTAACGCTCTTTACAATTGACTTATAATTAGGACCCTCTGTCATTGGCCGTCCCCCCCCACTACAATGTAAGCTCCTCAAGGCCCGGAATCTGTGTTCCTTTCGCTGATTATCCTAGGACCCTGGCAACTAAACAGCCAAAGAACATTTGTTGAATGAATGAGTGGATGAATGAATGAGAGGTGGTGACTTACCAGAGCCTGCTGCCCACATCAGGATCAGACAGCTCACAGGGAACGTGAGCCCAGAGCAAAGCCGCCCCATTGGGAGATCCTAAGACACCTGCTGAGTGAAAGCGAGCCAGGTTAGTGCCAAGAATGAGCCCTCTGTGTTCACTAGAGCTCACCCTATATCTATCTATCTATCTATCTATCTATCTATCTATCTATCTATCTCTCTACCTATTATCATCATGAAACGGTTGTGTTTCAGATGCACAAAGCCCACAATGCTTGTCCCCAAGAGACGATTCTTGAAAAAAATCCCATGACCTGCTAAGTTGAAGCAGCCCCTTGGACTTACGGGAGACCATAATGTACATTTGTGTGTAAAGGCTCTGATAAGTCCTGCAGCAGAGAAACTCATTTTTCTTCATTTAACCCAACACTTGCCAAATTTATTTCCCTACTCAACCTTCATCTGTATGTGTGTGTATGCTAAACCCCCAATTAAACCCCCAAGAGATTTACAATTCCTTGAAATGTACTTTGCAGACGTTAATCTGTTTAGCCTTACGGGGCTGGTTCAGTAAACGGTAGACCCATGCAATGTAGTATTAGGTGGCCACTAAAAAGGATGCTGTTGAATGTGTTAGACTTACGCCAATGGCCCCAATTCTTCCCAGTCCTCCTGGATCCATGTAACCTTGCAGTGCCCACCGCCTCCTTCCCCTCCCCCCTCCCCCACCCCACTGCCCCGGGCAGGGCATTCTCCCCTGGCCTTCGATTCTGGGCTCAACCACGTGACTAACTCTGGCCAGGAGAATATGAGCAAAAGGGATGCACTGAAGAAGCCTGCTTTTGCACGACCACTGTCTTAAGAACGCACGTGCCAGCCTGCTGGAGGATGTGGACGCGTAGCATTCTGCATTGGGGAACAGGCAGCCACCCCCAGTCATGCGAGCGAGATCAGCAGATCGGCAGAACTGTGTCACCGACCCCAGGCTGACCACAGGGGCACAGGTGACAACCTCCAGCGAGGTTGGCCACGCCCAGGTAAGCCGGCTCTCCCGGACCTGAGCTAAGTAAGCCTCTCCTGCTACATGCTCCTGGGGTTTTGTGCTTGATTGCCATCCTCCGTCCAGTTGTTCCCCACCACCTGGACTTCTAACCCCATAGATGACCTCTGTGTTTTGTGTTTCAGATAAATGGGATCGTACACTGCCCCTGTTGTGTTAGATGCATCCCATATAACACATGACTGGGGAATAGAAGTCAGCAAGCACAGACACCCAAAAAGAAAGCACAGTTCAAATCCCTCCAAATCACAAGGCCACGTACACATTCGTATCAACTCTTCCAGATTTGTATCTATACAGACAGGGAGATAAGTACGAATTTTGTTTCCCCAACTAGCAGCACCCTCTTCCTACTGAAACTTAAATTTTAAGCTTAATATATCATTAAATATCATTCCATACCACTATAGATTCAAAGCATCGAACTAGTGGGATCTCACTGTGTGTCACTGGATTTTAGCCTTTATTGATTACTCTTACTGCTTTGTTGTTCTTTGTTTTTTGTTGTTGTTGTTGTTTTTTAATTTTTTTTAATGTTTGTTTATTTTTGAGACAGAGAGAGACAGAGTGCAAGTGGGGGAGGGGCAGAGAGAGAGGGAGACACAGAATCCGAAACAGGCTCCAGGCTCTGAGCGGTCAGCATGGAGCCCGACGCGGGGCTCGAACCCACGAACTGTGAGATCACGACCCGAGCCGAAGTCAGATGCTTAACCAACTGAGCCACCCAGGCGCCCCTGTTTTGTTTTTTTAAGGTACGATATTGATCTTTTTTCCTGTTACGAAAGCCACACGGGATCACCGTAGACAATTCGGAAAAGAGAGACATGCAAACGTACAACAAGAATGCCTGTAGGGGGCACCTGGGTGGCTCCGTCAGTGAAGCCCCTGGCTGCCTCTTCACTTCCACTGGGGTCCAGGTCTCCAGGTCTGTGGGACTGAGCCCCAGGTCGTGCTCTGTGCCGACAGCGCGGAACCCGCCTGGGACTCTCCGTCTCCTCTCTCTGCCCCTCCCCTGCTCACAGATGCATGCTGTCTCTCTCTCTCAAAACTAAAAAAAGTTAATGGGGCGCCTGGGTGGCTCAGTGGGTTAAGCGTCCGACTTCAGCCAGGTCACGATCTCACGGTCCGCGAGTTCGAGCCCCGCGTCGGGCTCTGGGCTGATGGCTCGGAGCCTGGAGCCTGTTTCCGATTCTGTGTCTCCCTCTCTCTCTGCCCCTCCCCCGTTCATGCTCGGTCTCTCTCTGTCTCAAAAATAAATAAAACGTTAAAAAAAAAATTTTTTTTTTAAAAACTAAAAAAACTTAAAACAAAAAAGAACGGCCGTAATTCCGTCACCTGGAAAAACGCCCCTGGAGACATCTGGCATCCAAATCTAGTCCTTTCCACGTGTACCTAGTTTGACAGATCGGGCCGGTACAACGTCTTCTGTTTTGGAGCTCGTGCTTAAATCCTGCCCCCCTCCCTCCTCTCCCCGCAATGGCTGTGCAGCGTATTCCTGAAGTTTTAACACCTGCTCTGTCCCTTACTCGTTATGAACCTTGAGCAAACCGCTTAACCCCTCCGTGCCTCAGTTTCCCGCCCTGTGAAGTGGCGCTAGGAACGGCCCCCACCTGACCAGAGTGCTGTGGGCACCGAATGGGCTAACACACGCAGGGTCCTCAAACAGTGACCTGAACACAGCCACGGCCCAAGGAGTCGCTTTCGTGAAGGGAAATGCTCCGGAGTGGGATCTCGCCGGGTCAAGGGGCGTGCGCTTCCCCCCACGACACTCGCGGCACGTGGCGCCCTCTAAAACGCGAGGTATGGAGGAGGCAGGTTTCCCCGGCGGCGATGCTCACAGCACCCGCTCTCCCTGTCCCCGTGTGGGTCTCCACCTTGGCGTCGCATTCAGCCAAGCGGCGGCCAGGCTTCCTCCTGGGGCTTGGGAGCTATGTGCGGTTCAAGGCAGTCCCGCGGTCATCATCGCAGCGTGGGCCTCCTTACCTGCAACGTGCAGATGAGACGGAGCCTAACCTCGCAGCTGTACTGCAGAAACGGAGACGCGCGGACCTGAAGCCCTCCGCACGGTGTCTGTGCAGCATGGGGGGCGGGGAGGGGGGCTTTGTGTCCCTGCCGGAAGCTCCCCAGGGACTCTGTTCCCCTTGCAGGGCCTCCCCAGCGGGGCCCCGCCCCCCTCTCCACCTGGCCCCAGCACCTGTGCGCAGTGCTCCCGCCACCGGCCACATCCTCGCTCCTTGCTGCTCGTGAAACACACGAAACCCATTCCCGAGTGCACACCTTCCCTCTCGCTGTCCTTTTCATTCACCTTCCCCCTCAGTCTGTCTCTGTTTTATTCATTTTATGTATTCGTTTGTTCACAATGAATAAATCACTCCTTGAGGCTCCAGTGTATATTTCGGAGAACGAGGTCACTCATTCTCCTGCAGCCACAATGCAACCGCCGAAATCAGGACATTAACACTGACGCATGACTGTCGGCGGGTCCGCAGACCCTGTTTCGGTCTTGCTCATTGCCTCCACAGAGCTCCTTCTTTTAAAAATTTTTTTTCTTAATGTTTTTATTTATTTTTGAGACAGAGAGAGAGCATGAGCAGGGAAGGGGCACAGAGAGAGGGAGACACAGAATCGGAAGCAGCCTCCAGGCTCTGAGCCATCAGCACAGAGCCCGATGCAGGGCTCGAACTCGTGGACCGCGAGATCATGACCTGAGCCGAAGTCGGTCGCTCGACTGACTGAGCCACCCAGGTGCCCCTCCACAGAGCTCCTTCTAATGAGTCCAGGATCCGAGCAGGGAAAGTGCATGACGAGCTTGGAATCCTTGTGTCAGAGAGTAAGGACGTGCTCCAAGAAAGATGGGCTCCCGTCAAAAAAAAAAGACACAGGAGCCAGCTAAACCGCGTCCACCAGCCCACACGGGCACAACTGAAGCACCCCAATAAAGGTACAGTAACCAGCTGTAACCCCTGGAGTTCAATAGGGGTGCGGGAGTCTGTCCCGATTTAGATCTATACGCGGGGCAGAGAGAGCGGCTGTATTTCAGCAGGGGCAGCCTCTAAGCATCTGCCCACAAAATTCGTATTGTCTACTGACTAACGAATCAAAACGCTTGTTAACTTTACCGCATCCTATGCTTCATATACATGTGTGCGTAAAATCGGAGATGTGCAGAACCCTGGGAGGCACCACCTTCAACCAAGTGGTCAAAGGTAACATCTCCAGGAACGGGACAAAGCAGGGTCATGAGCTCTCTGAGACTATCCCCTGAGAACACAGCCTTCCTTCTCTGGCGATGCTGCCCCAAGGGCACAAATCACAGGGGAGTGTCAGACAAATCTAACAGAGAAGTCCATAAAAGAACCAGCCTGTGGTTTTCCAAAAATGCCGGGGGCGGTGGGGGGGGGGGGGGGGGGGGGGGGGGGGGGACAAAAGGCAAGGAAAGTGCAGAAGAGCTGTTCTTTTTCAGTTGCCTGTCATCCTGAGAGCTGTCATTTATCTTGTTCACTGCCAAGTTCCTGGTGCTTACGTTGGTGCCTGGCGTATAACAGCTGCTCAGTTAATGTTTTGGAATAAAGTCATTTTGGACATGATGTGGGGCCTCTAATGGGCTCAGCACGGGTCTGGAAACCCTCCCCAGGGGAACCTGGTATCTGTTCCAAGCCCCAACTCACTTCCCTTCAAGAGTCACAGTGAAGAACAAGGAAGAAGGGGTGGGAGTGGAGCGGTGGACCCGTGACGCTGGTGTCCTCTACGAAGTCCTGGTGACGCTGCCTCTGACAAGTTCACACGGGGCCACAGCCTCCTATGGCAGAGACGGCAAAGGTGTCACTGTCGCCCCGATTTTGAATGAAGAGAAACAGAGAGGGCAAGACGTGCGTACAAGGTCACACAGCAGCTATGGCAGCCCGGTTGCTATCTTTGATCTGTTTCAGAGGCCGTAACCCGATCGCCGCCCACCCCCAAAACACACACCCCAGCTGGCTTCACAGGGACCCGCAGGTGCTTCGTTTCAGAAGTCACAGCCCAGGAG